GACACAGTATCACAGGAAAGTGCTTGCCTACTACACCAGCATGCTGGTTTTTGTCAGTGTCTTACAGAATGTGGAACAGGGATTGATTATTCCGTGACACTCTATGAAGACACGCCATTTTCTCTTCTGTAGGTCCAGTAGTTTGAATCAGATTGGTAGCTCTTTAAAGTCGAGTTCTTAGTTTGCTTAGCCAAGAATTTCTGAGTTTCTGATCATTTTTTTTTTCTGGTCCTGATAAGTACTTCCTTGGTATGTTGGTGAGGATTTAGTGAATTTGTAAGCCAATTTTGATAGTGTTAATTGGTAGTAAAATTAATTCTTCCAAAATCAATGAACATGGATGGTCTTTCCAATGTGTGCTTTTTTAGCTTCTTTAATCAGCGCTTTGAAATTTTCACTGTGCATATCTTCTATACCTTTTATTGAATTCACTAATTATTTTGGTACTTCTATTTTTTTTTAAATATCCATTTATTTTCATTCAGAGTCAGATTTTCAGAGAGAAGGAGAGACATAAATATTTTCTGTCCCCTTGTTCCCTTCCCAGTCTCCCCAACAGTTGGAGCTGAACCTATCTGAAGGCAGGAGCTTCTTCCTGGTCTCCCACATGAGTACAAAGTCTGAAAGCACTGGGCCATCTCCTACTGCTTGGCTAGGCCTCAAGCAGGGAACTAGATGGGGATTAGAACAGCCAGGGCATACACTAGTGCTCATATGGGATCCCTGTTCACTCAAGAAAAGGATTCAGCCCCTGAGCCCTAGTGCCAGGCCCTCTTATTTTAGTAATTATGACTATTGAGAATACAGGTACATTTTGTACATTCAGGGTTTACAAATACATCTGATGATTTTGTATTCTAAATTACTGATGGACTTGTGTAACATTTCTTTTATTATTATTTGTTTTTATTGGAAAATCAGATAAACAGAGAGGAGGAGACACAGAGATCACGATATTCTGTCCGTTGTTTCACTCCACAAGTGGCCGCAACGGCTGGAGCTGCGCCAATTTGAAACTAGGAGTGAGGAGATTCTTCTGGGTCTCCCGTGCAGTTTCTGCGTCCCAAGACATTGGGTTGTTCTCAACTGTTTTCCCATCCCACTAGCAGGGAGCTGGATAGAAAGCAGGACCTTCAAGATTAGAACAGGTGCCGATGTGAGATCCTGGTGTGAACAAGGCAAGGACTTAAGCCACTATGCTACCACACCGTCCCAAGATTTCTACGTGTTGTTGGCAGAATCCTTATGTTTGTTTGCTTATTTACATGAACAGTGTCCTGCTACATCAAACAGGAATGATTTCACTGCTTCAGTTGCTACTTATACGCTTTTTGTATTTTTCTCTTGCATAACTTCTATGACTAAAAGTTCTGTGTTGACTAATAGAGAGAGTAAAACTGTTTGCTTTGAGAGCTAAGAGGAAATACTTTCAGCATTTTCCTTATGCCAGATGATATTTGCTGAAGTGTTTTCACAGGAGTTTTCAGCTTTCATTTTGAAAGTTGAATGATGATGAATTTCATCAAATACCGCTTGTATAACTACTGAGATAGTACTCTGTTAGCCTTCAATCAGTTGAAGCAATGCGCTGTATTTATTGACAGTGTGTCCTGAATCACTGTTGTGTGTTGTGAATAAAACACACTTGACCGTGATGGATGATCCTTCAGTTGTGCTCTTGGATTTGATCTGCTAATAAACTTTATTCAGAATCTTTTTGCTTGAACAGAGAGATAGTAAAGCTGACCTCAATTGGTAGGTTTCTTTATTTTTCAATTGTTCATAGAAATTTGTGAGGAAATAGACACCAACCAGTTGCTCCCAAAAGGCATGTCAGAGGTACAGAGCTCAGTAGGGGCACAGATCCCCAGTCTTTGCTGGGGGTTGATTCCTGAGATGTAGGTGCTGGGTCAACATATTCATGGAATACCAAATGTCACCAGAAGTTCTGGGTACATGTTAATGATGACGGTTCCGAGAGTGGACTAGTTGCCCAGCCTTCCAGCTCCAAGGATACTGATGTCACAAGAACAGGGATAGCTTCAACAGTATAGGTGAACACACCATAGGCACTTCCAGAATTGGAGTGCTTGGAATGTGCCAGATGTGCACTGTTGTGGCCTCATCTGCTGGGAAATCCAACAGAGTCCAGGAAGCCATGCCCATGAATCGCAGTGAGCCTGGGACATAACAATAGTAAACAGTGACCCAAGTGGTAAGGAAAGGAAGAAAAACTTTTAGTGATGGTGAAAGTGGCAGGGCAGATATGGATGTGAAGGCTCAGAGCACAGGTGCCATCAGGGTCTTGGGAGACAGAATCCTTGTGCTTCTGTGCACTTCTCTCCCTTCCAGTGCAGTGCAGTGCACTGAATGATACAAGATTCTGAGGTCAATATTGTGAATTATTGGTCTCTCTTATGTAGTGAAATATTGTAAGGAATCAAAATGGAGATATGCAAGGCTTCTGTTCCCTTCATTTGATTTCCACTAGTGATTCCTTTTTAGCGATGGTGGTAAAGTACAACAATCCATGCTGAGTTACTTTTCTGAACAGACCTAAGAGACCCAAATATGTGCCTTTACCGGCTCTAATTGACAACTGCAGATACCTCTTGTATCCAGGGTGGCCAGGGTGTGCGTTTACACAGATGTCCTCTGCTGATCCTCTCCTGAAACTGAGATTCCTCCAGCCATGGATCTAGGTTAGACTTAGAGTGACTTTGCCTTTGTTTCTGCCTCCATACTGCCATCCCCAAGGCTTCATATTTTACAGGGTCCTAACTTTCCCTTAATGGGTTCCCATGTTGATGCTTAGATGCTTACTCAATCATTCAGATGTCTAATTGATATTTTGTTTATTCCCTGAGGATGAGGCTGTAAATATTACAAACATCGGTATGATCTCTATGCAAGTTTATATCAGCTAGAATTTTTTCCTTACAAATTAACTGCATCCATGGGATATGTAGAGACACAGAAGTGGGGTACCATTTACTCACATTATGCTTATGCCACATACTATCAACATGGGTTACATTTTACTTTTGCCAAGATCACAGAACTGATCTGGAGTTGCTTTTCATATTTCCTCCTAAGTGAAGCTTCTCATTGCTTCCCACTTTTGTATTCTTGGTCATGGAAATTCAAATGAATTATTCACTCCATGCCTGAATGCCCAAATAGATCCTACCAAAAATACGATCTCAGATGGAACAGTTGGAAATGAAATAATCCTGGCTGATGTAACTGCATACATGTTGATAATCATATTGGAAAAGGGATGCTAGGACAGCTTGAAGGTTAGAGAATACCATAGATCAAAAGACCACTCAGTCAGCAATGGAAACCACTGATTTGTCTGTTTTCTTTACTACCGTCTTCCCAATACCTACAATAATATTTGGTACATAGTAGGAGTGCAGAAATGTATAAAATAATTTAGCAAAAATACAATGGTGATTGATGACATTAATTACTGTGTAGCATTGCACACTGGTCTCTGCCTTAGGAATTTGCACATGTTTTAGTGCCTGCGTAATAAATGTGCCAGTGCTTTTCTTTCATGGTTTTCAGAGAATCACCAAATCATTTCTATAGCAAGTTCCCCCAGCTGTGTTACATTATGGCCAAAAAAATGGAAAGGCAAGTGACTATGCCCAGACAAAACCAAGCACATAGAGTCACCTTGCTGTATAATAGTATGGTCCTGTGAGAACAAACTTACCATAGGAGATAGCCATTGTTTCCAAAGATGGACTCATTGATTACCTAAACAATTTCCTTGATAATCACAATCTTAACATCCACTAAACACAGTATTCAACAAGCAGAAAAAAACTGTTGGATTCAGACAATTCTAGCACCATGATTTCCTCCATAGGTAAAGTGTAACGAATACAATGAAACAAAGCTAAACTTAAGCATCAGTGTCTAAGAGTTTCCATTAGAAGACAACCACCAAAATCAAAGCACTGATTGTGTCTAATCAAGTAATGTGTTCATTTTGTCTACATATTCAGATTGCTAAGTGGAAAATTCTCTGAAGGTCTTCAGTGTTTGACTGCTAATTTGTGAATGTCTCAATGCTTAAATAATAATAAAAAAAATCTGCTAAACGGTCTTAGAAATTTAACTCATTCTCTATTCAGTAGAAGGGGACCCTACTCCACCCTCACTCAGGGTAGAAGATTAAAACAGTATGACAATCAGAAGATACTGTTCTTTGGAAGTCTGAGGAGATTTCTTACCGAGGTGTCTTAGATGTTGTTCATGTTGCCATTTTGCCGTCCTATCATGATGCAGGTTCTGTGGATACAGCAGGACACAGTATCATCCAGCAATACATTGCAGCAACACCACAATATATGTAATAGTCCTTTGGATATATATACCATGATGCGGAGACCACCTAAATATGCCCTACTGAACTCAAAAAAAGACATGCCTTAAATCCCCTGCCCCTTGTATAACTTGAAAATGTACCACTGGTACTCACACCACATTCAACAAGTGCTATAATTGGACATTCTTGATAATATTAGAAAAGTATGACTGTGGTTATATTAGAATAAGTCAAAGAGTTAATATGCTTCAACAGATTTTCTGTAATCTGCACCTGAGATAAAGACACTACTATTGACCAAGGTGATAAAAATGCCATGAAGGAGGTAAAATATTGGAGACCAGGTTCTCCTGATATCAATATTCCCCCTTGATAAATCACTGTGCTTTTAACTTCATGGTACTACTCTCAAATCTCTCTTTCTTTCTCTCTTTTTTAAGTTACTGATATGATTCCATTCCTTAGATGTAAGGTATTAATTACATGCCAGTCTGGCCCAGTTTGTGAAAAATTGTATAAGTATTTTATCTTAACAGTATCATTTAGCAGAAAGAATATGTAATAACAAGAAATGAATCTAATGCACATAAATAAATCAACATGAAGAAATTTCAGAGATCTAGTGAAACAAGGGATCTCATAGAAAAGTTATAAACAAGCGCTTGCTTCGCCGGCACATACACTAAAATTGGAACAATAGAGAGAAAATTATCATGGCCCCTGCAGAAGAATGATAGGCAAAGTTGTGCAGTTTTCCATACTAAGAAAGAAAAGAAGAGAAGAGAAGAGAAAAGAAAAGAAAAGAAAAGAAAAGAAAAGGAAAGGAAAAAAAGAAAAAAGTTGTAAAAAAGTAAATGTATGTGACCCCATTGGACATATCATAATAAAACATAACCAAAAACTCATATTTATACAGGATTATGTGTCATGTATATTTAATATGATATAAAATGTGGAGATACATGATTAGAAGGTATAGTTACAGATATCCCTATTTACTTCTTTTTTCTTTTTATTCATAATGGAGCTCTATTCTGTCCCATTGATCTTCATGTCTATTTTTGTGCCAAAACCAGGATGGTTTGTTTAAAACCAGGCTGTAGCATGTCTCCAAGTCTGTTAGAGTGGAACTTCTAGCTTTGTTTGTATTAAGATCGCTATGGCTTTATTGGGTCTCTTTATGATATTTATTCAACCAGTGCATGAACATGGAAGATTTTTCCAAATTTTTGTGTCTTCTCTTTCATTAATTATCACTCTGTAATTTTCACCATGTGGCTCCTTCACATCATTAGATGCATTTATTCCATTTTATTTAGTTTTTTCAGTTATTGTGAATGTGACTGATCTTAAAAGTTCATTCTTGGGCCCGGCACGGTGGCGCAGTGGTTAAGGTCCTTGCCTTGCACGCCCGGGATCCCATATGGGCACCGGTTCTATCCCTGCAGCCCCGCTTCCCATCCAGCTCCCTGCCTGTGGCCCGGGAAAGCAGTCGAGGATGGCCCAAAACCTTGGAACCCTGCACTCGCGTGGGATACCCGGAAGAGGATCCTGGCTTCGGATTGGCATAGTATCGGCCGTTGCGCTCACTTGGGGAGTGAATCATCGGACGGAAGATCTTCCTCTCTGTCTCTCCTCTCTGTATATCTGCCTTTCCAATAAAAAAAAATGATAAAAATAAATCTTTAAAAAAAAAAAGTTCCTTCTCAGTGATAAAACTGGGTTTGCAAATGCTGTTGATTTTTAGTACATTTTATTATCTAAAACTTTACCAAGCTCACTTGTGAGTTATAATTGTCTCTCAGTAGACTTAGAATCTACACAGAGAAAATAGAATGATTGTCATCAATATGAAAGAAAATGAGGACAGAAATTCTTCCTACATAGTTAAAAAGGAAATGCAAAAGAAACTGCAGGATTTATGTAAAATAGTAGGCCAAAGTAAAAGCTGAATAATATTATGCTTAAATGTAAATGCTTTGTATCATCAGATTAAAGGACACATAGTGTCTTTTAAAAATGAATTCTTTTTATTTTTGTTATTTTAAGATACACTTGCATAGGCCCTGCTATTTCCCTTATCCTCTCCCCAATTCCCTCCCCCTTCACTGAGTTCCCCTGTATTATTACTTTAGTGTAGTTCTTCATACATAGTCATATGTCCATCATTGCGGGCATGAAAAACGACAGAGAGTCCATCATCCTATTGTCAAGATATAGTACAGTTTCATTGGGAGTCCATGTTTCCCTGGAAGTAGAGATGCATACTGCATTGTATCCTCACATCTGGATATGATAGTCTCCATTACACAGTTACTATATGTCCCCTTAAATGAAAACCACAGTAAAAATTCAACAACAGGAAGAAAAAGAGAAATTTACACTGCCATGAAGTTAAATGACATGTTACTAGATATGACAGTCTGCATTACTCAGTTACTATATGTCCCCTTAAATAAAAAGCCACAAAACAAAATCAACAACAGGAAGAAAAAGAGAAATTAACACCACCATGAAGTTAAATAACAGCCTACTGAATGACTTATGTGTCACTGAAGAAATGACGAAGAAAATCAAGAACCTGCTTGAAGAAAATGATGGTATGTATGATCTATGAGTCATTGAAGTACTTCACGAGAAGAAAGCATTTTGAAGAGAGGAAACTACCAAAAAAGTCAATATCCATGATATATTTTCCACTGATCTTTGTTGGTGAAATGTGTCTCCTGTATAGCTAGGTTGTTTTTGGTAATAATCTCACAGGAACCTACTGGTCATTAGGTCTGAGGGCCACGCAGACCTATTTTGACCTGTAGGATGCAATAGTTGGTATTATTTTTCTGTGGGACCAGTGTGATGCACTGAGTTCAGTGAGGTCTCCCCAAACTCAACACATGCACAACTCACTGTTGTCCCTGCAGTCTTTGTACAGTGCAGTTCCTGCCACACTGTAAGAAATGGTGTTTGATGTGCCATTACTAGAATTCTTGATCTGCTGACCATCAGGTCTGAGGGCTACCAGGACCTATCTTGGGTGGAACCTGTAGGATGTCATGTTTTTGCCATTCACTGAGCCAGAAATGAGTTCACTCCCAACACAGTGCATGCACATTCCTTTTTCCAGCCTTTGCCGCCTTAAATAAGATGTCATCGGATTCAGCTCTAGGGGGCAGACTGGGATATGAATCCACCCTCTTCCTGCACTGCCCATCTGGGATCTGCTGCTCTGTCTCTGCTCCTGTTAAAATCAAACAGAGCAGCAGGATGAGCAGTTCTTTGTCTGGGTTCACCTCCTGAGCTCCTGGTGAACATCCCTTTCCACCTGATTGCTCTTGGAGTTTCGGCTGCTGCAATTCAGATCACCATTTGCTGAATGCTGCTGGGGCATCAGTCACCATACCATTGTGTTCACTGCTTTCCTGTGTCTGTCAGTCTCCAGGTGCCACTGTGTCATTTTCTGTCCTCTCATATTTCCTGGAATATGCCCTCTCTGCTTCACTCTCGCTGATATTTTTCCATCTGTTTAAATGTGTCCTTACTCTATTCCATCATCTTAATTCTCTTGGAAGTAAATCCATAGTGTCTTAATGAACTAAAAAGTTATACTCAGCTACTTTCTGCCTATTGTAAACAGTTCACCAAGAAAGCATGACACATACAAAAATTAAACGTTAAAAAAATTCCACACTAATGGAAGGTGGAAAAGACCAACAGCACCCATCCTACTATCAGATAAAATAATTTCTAACACAAAAACTATTGAAAGAGAAAGGGTCATTTATATATGGATTAAGGGATTAGTTCACAGGAATACGTGACCGTAGTAAATGTGACCCAATGCCCAGGTGCCTGGCTCTTTAAGCACAACGGATCTTAAGGGAAACATAGATTCAGATACAAATGTAAGACGGGATTTCAGGACCTTGCTTTCATAAATAGAAACTTGAAACAGAGAAAATCAACAAAAATAGCAGATCTCATCAATGCCAGATAAAAGCAAAATGGAGGTAATTGACATCTACATATTCTATCCCAAATTTGAAAATGTTCATTTTTGTTTTCATTGCATGGAATTTTCTTTAGGATAGACAATGCATAAAGGCATAAAACAAATCTCAGAATAAAAATTAAGTTATGAGTTATCTTTTCTGACACAGTTATCAAGCTGGAACATAGCAACTCTAGACACTACAGATAATAATCAATCACATGGAAAGGGGACATTTACTGTTGAATAATGTGTCATAGGAGAATTCAAAATGGATAAGCATTCCTAAAAATGAGTAAGATTAACAACTCATCACAACATGTGGCATACAGGGAGTGGAATCCCAGGTGTCCATCATTCTCTATTATCGTTCAAATTGTTCACATGAAGCAGGGTGAAGGCATTCTCTTGGTGAAGGTGAGTGGTGATAGACTCCACATTTACTCAATACTTCAGTAGCTGAGGAGGCTGCAGTGCCTCTATAGATGTGCATACAAGAATGCCAGTCTCTGTGTAGATACATGAAATTTCTAATTTGGCCTACTGACTTTTTGACAGTAATTGTGGCCAAACATGAGGTGGCCCTCACCTGGAACTGTGATACTGACACAGTATTATCAAACTGCAAAGTAATGACTTAAAATATAGATATTGCACAACCACATGGAGACACACTGCTGCATGATGTGGCATAGGGGGAATCAAAATGGAAATTTAATGTTTCTTAGACTGAGGGAGAAAAATGAAACAACAAAAAAGATCAATCAGATCTTTTGGAATACAGAAAGTAAAATGCCAGGTGCTCAGCATCCCCCATTATCCCTCCCCCATAGATATGCATGGCTGCATGCACTGTGTGTGCAGGCAGATGCAATTTCATGGTGCTGTCAAGAAAATAGTTCTGTTTTCTGCATTGACATTATTGTCTGGGATTATGGCCAGAAGGGCAGTGGCCCTCACCTGGAACTCTGAGGTAGCACATATCACCAACTTTCTAAAGGCCTGAGATGCCACCTGCCAAGGCAGAGTTCTCACAGGCAGCTGGGCTGAGAATACCTCTTCTCTTTGCTACCAGGGCAGACTAGTTGCTTTGAGCAAAAAATAATAGCAATGTGTTCAAAATAGTCTGATGCAAAGACTGTGGGGATTCTATAACTTTGGAACAGGGCATGGTGTATATAGCAGGATATACACTTTTACAGGTCTTTTGTGTGGGTGGATGTCCTACCATAGCATGGGTAGTTATAATCTCTCTGAGCTAATATAAAATGATCAGTTAGAAAGAGAAGAGTAAAGCCCCGATCACAATTACAGTCATAATCATTGCCACCCCCATGCTGACAAAAGAGATAGACTGTGGATAATTTTGGTGTCTTCCGAGAATCTCACTTCACTGGAGCATAGGCATGGGCTATCTGTTGTAGGCACAGTCACTCTAGAAACTACAGAGTTGTATCCAAAGACAAAAAAACATCAGAGAAAACCAACTTCCAGAATGTATAAACACAGGAAAACTGAAAAAAAAAAAAACAAAAGACAAGGAAGACATGACAATTTCTAACTACAAAAGTGAAAGCTTGATGAAGTACTTAGAAAGAAAGGAAAACCTAATAATCGAAGGACTGCTCAAATGCACATGAAAATAAACTATTGAGATAAATATATCAGCATGTAATATGGATGAAATTCTGCAAAATTTTGAGATTATGAATATATATCAAATAAAAATACTAACAACACATATTCTAATATGAATAGAAAAAGCCATACAAAGCTT